TGGCTGTTTTGTTTTCCCAGTAGAGAGTTCTTTGAGACCCAGCCCAGTGTAGCCATTGGGTGGTCCTGGTAGAAAGTGTTTCTCTGTGTTGCAGGCTAACACAAAGGAACGGAGATGGACGAGAAGAAAAGGTTGATAAAGTCTTTTGGAAAGAGCTAAACTTGGTCTCCACCAACAAGCAGAGTCCCCAGAAAATGGAAGTATGGTGGGAGGAGGCACTCCCACAGACAGGCTACAGTAGGACAAAGAATAATGAATGAAGGAATGAAGGGCTTGGAGGAACCCTGGATCCATGTTTTAATTCTCTTAATGATGCGTCTCCAGATTCTATTATAGTCTACTCAGAGGAAAAGATATTATTCTTTAGGAAAATTTATCTGTTTTGTCATTTTTACTTCCACTTTATGTTTTATTAACTATAAACACAGTTTCTTGAACTTGATTATGCTATATTCTATATCTAGTTTATGTTAAATACTTACTTGCTGTATTTTGCTATAAACTTATTTTATAAAATTTTGGCTGAAGTATATATTTCAGTAGCTTATGATTTCAGAAGCTGCTACTAAATCAATAAAATACCAGTCTTTTAAGAGGAAATAGTTAACATTAACTAGGAGAATTTTTCTTTTTTTATTATATATATTACATAACATATATCATACTACCTTAAAGTACCTACTTCTGATAGACAAAAAATAGACATTAGACAATACATTATGAATTTCTATTGCAACAAAACCCAAATCCTTTTAAATGATATTAAAATATTGCTGAGGGTCACAAATAGACTTTGATGAATAGTGCATAAACCCATAAAATTATTTTTATTGTAAAGAATTAAAAGCCAGAAATAAGAAAGAATATGTTATTTTGAAACAAGTAAATGGTCTCTATCATTAAAGAGTAAATTGCTATTTTCTTTTTTTTTTTACATATTAACTAGCAGAGTAGGGAGACTAAAGGAGAAGAGAAATAGGGTAAATGGCGGACTGCCATAGCCGGTCGCCATAGAGAGGCAGAGAGGTGCGTAGGTGGGAGAAGAGAAGAGCAGAGCAGAGAGAGTAGAGAGAGAGAGCAAAGAAGAAGCAAAGAGAGAGTGAAGCAGGGCAGAGTAGGGAGACTAAGAGAGAAGAGGAACAGGGCTTAATGGCTGACCGCCATGGCTGGTTACCATAGAGAGGTAGAGAAAGTGTGTAGATGGGAGAAGAGAGGAGCAGAGGGAAGAAGAAGCAGAGAACGTAAATTGCTATTTTCTATGCTACTGTTATTGTTATTGTGTCTTAGAGAAGTCTTTTTGAGTGACTCTTTATTCTTGAGTAGGAGGTTGTTATTTCTTGTTTACTTTTTGATTTGTACACTGGAGGTATATTGTGACTCACCTTGATGCTTTCTAGAGGGATACACTAAAAATTCTCAAGTTTAAGTCTCATGTAGATAGTAATTGAATTTTATGGGTGGATGCATAGTTCTATAGACACCCAAATTATAGATGAGTAGTAAACTGATATAATTAGAAATAGCAAAAGGAAACATGTTTTAGAGCTATTAGGAGCATACCAGTGATAAGGCGTTCCCCCTGTAAGGTATGTCATTTGAAAGCAACTAGAAGGTTGAGGACGCTCCTTTATACAACAAGAAAACAATTGTGCTGCCTGCCCTACACATATCCAAAGGAAATATTGAACTGATTTCTTAGTGTAACCATAGATTACAATAATATTATATTTATGGTTATTTGATGTAGTGTTTTATTGTAAAATAACAAGTGGTAGCAAACCAACTAGAAATAATGTATTTGCTGAGATCAGGTCAGGAAACAAAAGACAATCTCTAAGATAGTATCCTTGTAGGATAATATTGGGCTAGATCCTTATCTCAGACAAAGTAGTTAAGAAATGCACCTGGCACACCTTTAAATGTATCTGTTTCTTAGGAATTTATTAGTCTCGTTTTCAGAAAACATGCTTCATTTCCTAAGTTAGCATCTTCCTTTGAAGAAGTAATGAATCATGAGATTTAGCTATTAACTCAATTATTGCAATTAATAGCTCATCTTACATAAAATGTAGTTTGACAGATTTCTTAAAATATTTCTTAGTAATACTAAACAGCATTATTATTACCTACAAAGAAAATACTTTGCCAGTGCCCAAAACTAATATGCAGTAAAAATGTAGTTTCCTTTTTCACTTTATAATATATTGACATGCAAATTATGTATGACATATTGCTGAATCTTGTAGACAATATTGCACAAATTATGTATTTGTTCAACATCAATTTTCCTATTTATTGCCCACCAAATTTTTTAAAATTTCCCTTTCTGCTCCCAAATTATTCCCTTTCTCTGGTTATTCTCCAAGTGTCAAAACATCTTCTGTCTCCATTCTTCAGTTTTTGAATCATCACCCAGCATTAGTTACTTTTTGTTGTGATAAAACACCCTGGCCAAAAGTGACCTATGGGAGAAACCTGTATTTTGACTTGAAGGTTCAGGGTTGAGTTCAGAATAGTATGAGTGGAATGGCAGCAGGTAGCCAGAGCAGAGTGTAGAACATTCAAATCTCCAAAGGGACATACACAGCACGGAATGCAATCTGGAAGTAGGTGTAGCTGTAAATACTTAAAACCCACCCACAGTGAATTATCTTTTATTAAGGCTCCACCTCCTAAAGGTTCTACAACTTCCCTAAATGGAACCAGGAACCAGGCTTTGAAATATGTGAGCCTATGGGAGATATTTATCATTTAAACCATCACACAATCATTGTAATAGGACTTCACTAGTTAAATGCCACCAGTGTCCCTGTTTCTAGCCCTGTGCACTTTTCTAGAATCATAGGGATGTGTAGGGTTTCCACCCAACAACCTTAGACTCCTTTTTGAATCATGCAAGTTGCCTTTGTATAAATTTTTCCCTATAGTCTTTACTACTCTTCCAGATGCTTTTCCAAAATGGTGAGACCCTTAAAGGTTAGCATTGTGCAATGGCAACTTTTTACCAAAGTTGGGTAAGATGTCTGAATGCCACTGTCATCCATTACAGTAAGACAGTGCCCGTTAAGTGTTTGGGAGGTATTATATAGTCACATCGTTAGACAAAAGAACAACACACTCCTCATCCTAGGATGTGCTACATGAAGCAGGGGCCTGGGCATTTCTCTATGCAGTCTTGGGAAGGTTGGCTTGTGCTTCTTGGCTTGGCATAGGCACAAGGACTGACTTTAGCCCACTACGCCTGCTGCTGGAATCTGCCTCTTAGCTATGATAGGCTCTAGACCAGAACTGTTTTCCCATCAGCAGTGTTACAGGGTCTCAACAGGTGCCGCTTGGGGGTGGAGGGAAGTAGATGAGACACCAATGACACAGGCACCACGAACAAGCTGAAACAAGAGGCTCAGTTTGTTCCAGGAAAAGGCCTTGTATATCCCTCTACTTTGGCCGAAGGAGGGCAATCCACTGAGTTGGCATCTGCTGAGGTGATGTGGTCACTGTCCATAGGTCCACATCATCTCTCATCTGCTGTTGTCAAGGCCCTCTGGCAGACCCAGGCTGGATGTCAGGAAATATCTACTGTGCACACTTACTCTCTCTGTCTAGGCAAGCTATCAGGAGATATCAACTGCACATGCTCTAATCAGCTGTCAGGCCCATTAAGGGTTTGTTATCCCACACATCTGGATTCTGAAATGGGCTGGACAAAACACTTCATCCTCAACAAAGTTCACACTGCATCCTCTGGGGGAATAGTTGTTCATCTCTTAATCTTTCCTTCCATGAATTTCTGCTCAGAGTTTATAGTCTTCCAGAAATTCACTAAAGGAATGTTTTTGGCTTTCTGTTAATTATCTGCCTGAGAATTCTTACTGGGCACAGATCTTGTCACATTTTATTTCTAGTGAGCTGGATAGTTACCTTTGCCTGCTTTTTTCTTAACATTTCCAGATTGCTTTAGCACCTTATGAATCTGAATGATGTGCCAGTTTAGGTGATGCTAGTCTGCTAAAGCCTCCCCCATTACATAAAGATCATGGCCCTCTCTAGGGCTCAGCAAAACCACTAAAGGCCCATATTAGTTCTGACGTCTCTGATGAATTAACCTTTATCTTACCTCTTCTGTGAATTTGGTCTTATCTGGGCATCAAATACAGGCTTTGCACACCCAATTTCCTCAATAATGCCTGTCTTTGCTCTTGAAATGGACATCAAACACTGTCTCTTGCATACCTATTTATTAGGTTACGTATGCTGTTTCTCTTGAATTGGGCACCAACACTTCCTCTCTAATGCCCAGTCTCTTCTGTAAGCTTGTCTTTATCATAATCTGGTGTCTGATCTTCATGAGAATTTCAGGAGATAACCAATTGTCCTTAATGGCTTGTATGAGCCAGTAAATCAAAGACGAGGGCCCCTTGTTTTGCTTCATGTAATATAGCCTTTGTCTCTAGGAGTGATGGATAGTTGTTTTATTAAGTTTCTTGCTTCCTCTGCACTGAATCCATCCACAGTATCCCTCAGGTTCATGAGCTATGCTGTGATTGGGTCTTTCATTCCTTCTTTAGTCTTTCCTAAGTCAGGCAGTTCAAGTACTGGCTATCTACTGTTCATTGTAGTTTCTTGTGATGATCTGTTAATCCCATAGTAAGACTTCTATATACATGTCTATCAACTCTATCTTGCTCTCATCTTCCTTACATTCTTAATTTCCCCATATGTTCCAAGGTTTTAAAAAAAGTAGTTTTTAGCACGAATTTAGTTTGTATCATTCATTTTGTGAGGTTTTATAGTCTATAGAATACAGGCATCCTATTTGTTTCCATAAATTTAGTCCTAAATATTCAAGCCATTTGAATAATATTTGAAGCCATTGTATTTTGATTATTAAATTATACTGTATAATAATCTAGTGTATAAGAATGATCTGAATAGAATTATACCCTGTAATCTTGCTATGTATGTCTCTAGTTATTTTCTTTATTTTTAGGTTTCATGTGATATTTTCTTTGTATATAAACCATGTCTTCTATGATATAGTCAATTTTATTTCTTCCTACACAGGTTTTCTATGCATATACACTTATATATTTGTGGCCCCAAATTATGTTAGACAGTATTATGTTAAAATTAGTTGAATGCTCAGGTGAGGAAAACAAGGGGTGTGGGGTTGGAGTTGTATCAAAGGTATCAACTGGGACATTAAAGCTTGTAGCTGTGATAAACATATGTCCTTCTGTGTGTTTTTCCATAGATACCCCATCACAGCGAGTACAGTTTATTCTTGGAACTGAGGATGATGACGAGGAGCACATTCCTCATGACCTTTTCACAGAACTAGATGAAATTTGCTGGCGTGAAGGGGAAGATGCCGAATGGCGAGAAACAGCCAGGTAAAAGTTTGGGCCATAGAGTGAAAATGTATTTCTTTATAAATTACGTCATCAGAAGAACAGAGTCCCAGTGCAACAATTCTGCAAGTGTCTAGGGTTTTTGCAGTTTTCTGAATTGCTCATCTGGCCTGGGCAGATCTTATAATGGGATATGGGTCAGAATTACATCTGCAGGCAGTAATTAAACAGTGATGCTGAGTCAGCTACAGCTGCAGTCTTAAAGATAAACAGTAACATGATTTGTGAACTATCAACACAACAATGGAAATCAAAAGTAATTTGTTTCTATCTTTTCAGCTTCTGACTTATACTCCAATTGGTGATATCATAATTTCACTGTGGGGCTTTTTTAAAAATAAAGAATAAACATGAAAAGAGGCTTTAGTTATAGTCCTCAATTTCACATAGTATTTGGTAATGTATAAAAATATTTTATCTTGTTTTTCTAGGATAATTTAGTGTTTTTTAATGTCTTCTTAAAAGACATTATCCTTTTCTATCCCAAAGGCTATGACAGATCCTGAAGACCCCCTATGGAAGGCCTCACCCTCCCTGGGGAGCAGAAAGGTTATGTGATAGGTAGGGTTTTAGTTGGGGGCCAGGGTGGTAGGGGAGGGAGAGGGAACTGGGATTGACATGTTAAACAATCTTGTTTCTAATTCAAATAAAAACATGGAAAAAACTAAGATTCGCTTGTTAATCATTTTGATTAGTACAAAAACAATATTAAAATTTTATGATGCTATTTCTAGTCATAATAATAAATGTTTTATTGTAATTATAAATATGTAAAATTGAATTACATACTTTATAGATATGTCAAAAGAATATTTGCTACATGAAAATACAAATAAATCATCTGGCTATGTATGTTTAAAAAAGATAAATCTACCTTTTCTATCATTTGTAATTAATATTTTGGTAGTGCCATATAATTGATGAATTACTATAAAATCAGTGGATTAAAATTTATACCATTCATTAATTTGTGATCATTTACACATAATTCATGTATTTTTAATTATTTATGGAGTATCAAATGGTTTATAGAACAGCAGCAGCAGGAGAAAAGGCATTAGATCTTGCTGTCAATAATCTCACAGTCTTAGTCTAGACACAAGGATATAGTTGTAAATGTTGTGTATTCAATACTGTGGCTAAGGCATGCATAGTAACTGGGAAAGCCTAGGATTTTCCTTGTTCTACTGATTTCCAGATTTTTATATGACTATGACTCACATGAGGTCTAAGTAAAAATGTAGATTTTGTATGTATTAGGCATAGAACCACAAGTTTTGCATTTTTTTGTATCAGCAACATAAATTTATACAATCTTTTAAATTATCTCATTGTTATATAATTGAGCTTTATTTAGCCAACATTGATAGAAATTTAGTTTTTTCCAACAAAATTTACTGTGATGATTCATTTCTGTATCAAGCTTCTGTTTGATGCTATGTTTAATACTTTTGATTTGAGGACCACATTCTCTATGGCAAGAAACTTTACCACAAGGTAGCAGAGAACGAGTCAGAATAACTACACAGGATGGATGATTCCTGAGCTCACTCAATTTTTTTTTAGTTTTTTAATTTGCTGTATTTTGAGATTTTAATTCATGGGTATTATACTTTACGTCTTATTCATCTCTCCCTCTTTCTGTTTTGACTCCTCCCATGTCCTCTCTTCCCTCTCAGCATCATACACTTTACACACACACACACACACACACACACACACACACACACACACACA